TCAGCATGCACTTGGCTCTGCTCGAGCAGAAGATGAAGGGGCCCGAGGTCATGGCCTTCATCGAGCAGGGCAAGCGGATGGAGTGCCCGCCAGACTGTCCGGCTGAAATGTACGCGCTCATGAGCGACTGCTGGATCTACAAGTGAGTGCGGGCGGAGGGGCGGGCTGGCCGGACCCGGGGCCTGGGCAGAGGTCCTGGGACCCAGTCACTCCAACAGAACTGTGGGGTGTCATCCACCCAGAGACTCGCTGCCTTTCCAACACGCAGGTGCTCTGCCTCTGTGCGCATCTCTGCAGCACCCTACACTGCCCCCTATCTGTGGACACCCAGGGCCCCACCAGCCAGGCAGCACGGATCCAAACAAGCGGTCACCCTACACTGATCATGCAACGCGTGTACATTCCAGCACCTGTGCATTCCTAGCCCCCAGCATCCATTGCTCCACTGGCCAACACCTGTGACATTGATACGCAGACACCCAGGCAATCCAATAAACAGACACCCCTCTTTATGATAAATAAATAGCAAATGGTCAGCCTTCCCCTCAAACAGGTTAACCCGCCTCCACAGGAAACACGGAGACACCAACACCCAACACAGTGCCTGGACACTCCACACAGCACCATTAGTGCCCAGCACCCACCAGCCAATCCCCTCAGTACCCCAGCCTTCTGTTCCGTCATGGGCAGCATACTCGCACCCATATAAGTCCACCCTGACCCCATATGCCCTGACCCCGGGCACGTCGCATACTCAGTACGCCCGCATTCAATAGCCCAGCTCCCTACGGTCAATAGTTGTCTTGCCGAGCACTCAGTGGATTCATTTAATAAGTCTTTACTAGTTAACACCCAACATCCTGTGTGTCTGCAGCCCTTCTATCAGGCAACCCCAAATTCCCGGTCTCACACCTTAAAGACCCCTCTATCACCCAGTACTTCACCACCTCGACGCCCCAGGATTTTCTGAGCCCCCTGCATGCCCACCTCCAGTTGGACTCGGGTTCTGGCTGGTGGTCAGTGGCTTGGATCTGCCCCTCCCCCCACAGGTGGGAGGACCGCCCGGACTTCCTGACTGTGGAGCAGCGCATGCGGACCTACTACTACAGCTTGGCGAGCAAGGCTGAGGGCCCCCCGGAGAGTGAGAAGGGGGCGAAAGCTGCCAGTGCCTGAGCACCCCCTGCCCAGGGCCTGCGGGCCCCTAGGCCCAGCCTTTCCTCTGTGCCTTCAGCCCATCCCAGGATCCAGTGTGGCCCGGCCAGGCCAGCTCCTCCCCGCAGCTGGGCTGTGAGTGGGAAGCTGAGGCCGAGGCCCACACTGGTTAGGCATGTCCTACCTGGTCACCCATCCTTTCTGGCTGGGGGAGGGATGCCCTGAGATGGGGGTGGGGTTGTGTAGCCTGGCCCTGGGCGGGCATGTACAGGGGGGCCCTGAGCCGAGGGGTGCTTACAACAAGGACCCTCCTTCCTTGCCCTGAAGGGGAGGACTCTGGGAGTCCTCAGGTGGCAAGACCTTAACCATGGAATAAATCAGCTTCTCTCTTGTCTGAGCTTCCTCATCTTTCTTGGGTGAGGGTGGGACAGGAGAGGGGGCGCTAGGGCGTGCCTGAGAACAACTTTCCTTGTGTGAGGCTGGCTTTCCCACTCCTGTGCCCTGGGAAGTCTTCATTCAAGTGAGGGGCTATTGGGGAAACCAAGGCAGGTAAGTGTGGGGCTGTGTGCACGCGGGGCCTCAGCGTCCCTCCCTCCGTGACCGTGACCGCATGATGGCGTCACCTGGAGAGACTTGACTAGCTGCTCCCCCTCCCCCACGCCCCCAGCATCGGTGCATTTTAGTGTCTTCAGGTGATTCCACCACCCAGCGTCCTGCTCCGCTGCCCAGCCTTTCTTCCTGGGCGGGTCATCGCTGGAGTTTCCATCACTGAGCGCCCCAAGTGCCAGCTCAGTCCGCTCAGAAGACCTGTCCCTAAGCTCTTGTGGCCTCAGTTTCCCCACGTGGAAAGTTGGAATGTTGGATGCAGAACCCAGCAGGTGGGGTGAAATGAAGCCAGGTGCCTGCATTTCTTTGCCGAACCAGCTCCCCCCTCTCCCCGGCTGTGATGGGCCATCCCAGGCCCCAGTCAATGCCTGGTTCTCTTGGCTCCGCCTCCAGAGTGATTGGCTCAAGGGCGGCACAGGACCCCGCTCGGAGCCCAGGAAAGGCCAGGAGGTGCTCCGTGGCTTCTGGGAAGGCGGCGTTCCCTCTCACGGTGGAGGCCGGGCTGCCTGTGGCTGGTCCTGCGGTTGTGGGGCGGGCCGGAGGCTCCAGCCGCTGTGCAGAGGGAGCGTGAGGCCCGATGGGTGACCCTGAGACAGACCCCGAGCCTTCGTCACCCGTGAGCACATGATCCAGACCAGGAAATGGATGAACAGGTTCAGACCTTGCTGTGATGTCACCATTTACCGTTGAGGTTTTCATACTTGATACCTAAGCTTCATATGAGCATATTTAATAAGCTTCGTCTACAAGGAGGTGAATTCAGAGGCCCCTCAGCTAGACCGCCAGCTGACACACGGAGGCCCAGCTGTGTGTGTGTTTGGAGAGTGTTTGTAAAGGTGTGGAATTTTCTGAGGGTCTCCGAGCCCTGCATTTAGAGTGAAAACAGACCAGGAGAGTGCAGAGACCATGAAGTTAAAGACACAAACTCGAATTACTCCCATTTTTGTCATTCTCTGTGACCACTTGGAGATTTTTGTGTTTAAAATGTAAACCAGTGAGGCCTTGCAAACTGTGAGATACAATAGCTTTAGTTGGAAAATGTATATCAGTTCATACATGAACCATATTACTGAATTTGAATAACACCATTAAAATGCAAACATTGTTTTTAAACTACTGAGCAAATCAAGAAAACAGCCACATCAATGGAACAATTTCATGGCTTCCCAAATTTTGTTCGCAGAATTTCAGTTTTATTAAATTCACTTGTTAGTTATGGGATAATTCACATTATTAGATGAAGTATATCATAAAGGAAATAAATTCTCACTGCATTTCTTTTAGTCATTAATTTTTATTTTATTATTGCTGAAAATCATTTTATAGGAAGGAGGTGTTAACAGTGACCCACTCTGAGTGTTCAATACACGGAACGCTGTGTGCGCTTCCAATAAATCAGCGGTTCTCAACCTGTGGGTCGCGACCCTTTGGGGGTCGAACGACCCTTTCACAGGGATCGCCTAAGACCATCCTCCATATCAGATATTTACATTAAAATTCATAACAGTAGGAACATTACAGTTATGAAGTAGCAACGAAAATAATTTTATGGTTGGGGGTCACCACAACATGAGAGGCTGTATTAAAGGGTCGCAGCATTAGGAAGGTTGAGAACCACTGCAATAAATGCTTGTTGAACCAATGAGAGGGTGCGGTTCCACACATTCACCACCAGGGGCCGCTCAGTTCCTCCATTCGGGCCTTGCCGCCAGCCCTGCTTCTGGGTGTCTTCTGCCTGGGGCGGGACCCCAGGCTCCTCCCTGGTCTCCAGGTGCCCCCCACCCCGTGCCATCCTGTCCCTTGCAATCCATTCACCCCAAAACCACTTTTCTTCCAGGGTTCCCCAATCATAGCACCCCTACCCCCGGCTGCAGCTGCTTTCACCAGAGGGTCTTAACATGAATTGAATGACAGTCCTAGGTTACGGGCACCTCTGAAAAGGCCCTGTCATCTTCGGGCCTTGCACAGACATTAGCCAGGGTGGGGGTGCGGTGTGGTGGGCCTGGGAGAGAGAGGGGTTGGCTGTTGTGGGGCTCCGGGGCACTGTTTCTGGCTCTGGCTGCGGGGGTCTGACTGTGTGGAGAAGCGGTTGTACTGATCTAGGCGGCTGTGTTGTGGCAGAGCCTGTGGGGGCTCCTTCAAGGGCTGGGGCGCAAGCTGTTGGCAGGCTGGGCTGTTGAGGTTCGTGGTTGGCTGTGGGGGCCTGGCTGCGCAGGGCCCTGCTGCTCCAGGGTTGGTGTGGGTCGGGGTGGCTCCCGAGGAGTCCAGCTGCTGAGGGCGATGCAGTGTCTGCTGCAGGCAGTGAGCTCACAGACCTTGGGCTGTTGTCTGCTGGACCCTGGGCACTGTGCGGCGTGTCTTGGGGTTCAGTAGTGAAGGTCAGCTTTGCTCATCTTTCCTTCTTTCTGTGTTTCTTGTTCTCTGTGTTTTGCAATCTGTCTGTCTTTCTCTGTTTCCACCTGGCTCTCTCACTGGGTGGGCCAGCATCCAGGCGGGTCTGTCCCTGCACGGTCTCGGATGTGCGGACTGGACTGTGCAGGGAAGAATTCAAGACACGAGTCCGGGTCATTCTGAGAGAACGTTCATTAAAGCTGGGGACAGTGCAACAAAGGAAGGGCTTAGGGCAGAAGCAGCAAGGTTAAGAGGCCAGTGAGCAGGACACGTGGAGTAAGGACACTGACAGCTGAACAAACTGGCCGAGCAGTTTGCAGCAGATACAGGTCACCTTCCTGGAGAGAACATCTAGGCCTCAGCTGTGTTCCAGCTCCAGGCCCAGAGAAGCAGCACAACCAGGTGGGCGACATCAGGACCAGCTGAGATGACTACTGACTAAGGATGCCCCCCTGCCCTGGCACTGACCAATCAGAGACGTCATCCCTCCCCCTTCCCCTGCTTCCCCATAGGCTTGCATCTCCTGAACTCTAAGGCAGCGGTTCTCAACCCTGGCTGCACATTAGAATCACCTGGGAGTCTTTTTAAACTCCTGATTCCTGGGCCCCGGCGAATCCTGGAACCTGTCCCCCAGGCCCTGTTCTGCCTGCCCAGAGAGCGAGGGCAGCTGGGGCTCTCCCCCAGGCCCTCTGTTCTGCCTGCCCAGAGAGCGAGCGCAGCCCCAACTCTCCCGTGGCTGCTGTGCGAAGCCCTTCCTTGCTCCAGTGTCCGCAGCTTTAATAAATGTCCCCGCGCAGTCACCTGGACTCCTGTTGTGAAATGTTTCCTGCACGAAGTCAAGGGCCCACACAAGAGGCCGGGCCAGGCGGGCCGCTAAGGGCCAGGCCCCCTTCCGGGTAGCAAGATCACAGAGACCAAGTGAGCGTAGCCAGGGCTGCTGTGGCCCTTTGAAAGGTGAGGCAAGAGGGGTGCCCTTGGAGCTTAGGAGAAGGTCTGTAAAAGCAGCACCTGAGGAAAGAGGTGGGGTGGGGGGGGAGGGCGCGGTGCCCGAGGGAGAGTGCCGCCAGCTCCCGTGTCCTGAGGTTTCTGTAAGTTTTCTAGAAGCGGGTATTTTAGGGGCAGTGTCAGGGGAGGATCCAACAGAACGCCTCAGCTTTCCAGGTGTGTCAGTGGTTACAGCTGATGCCTCTGAGTGAGTGCGGAGGGGAGAGGGGTCATTCTCTGGTCAGCTTCACCTCTATCTTGGACTTGTCTGGCTCTAGTTGTTGTTGTTTTGTTAGTTATTCCGCTGGTTTATCCATCTTGGGTATGGCTGCCACCACTTGGGTCCCTGTTAGCGATCTCCCTGCCTAGGATGACTTAAGCAAGCTCGCTGGTTGGGGAGGGAGAGGGAAGCCATCTGCTCCTAAGAGCCTTTGGTTAGGGGAGGTAAGATCTTGGGGTACACGAGCCGTCTGCCTGGCCCAGTTTCCCCATTCCACTTGCCAGGGAGTTTTCCTAAGTTACTAACCTGCCTCCCCATCTGCACCTCACCTCTGCTGGCCCTCCTGACCTGTTTCCACTCAACGGGTGTTGAGGGCTTGCTGTATGTACGCATAGGCTGTAGCAGGGGCCTGGGGGCTCTGGGCCCTGCCTGTGGGGAAGAGGAGGGACCCCTAACCTCTCCCCCGCCCCCCGCCGAGGTTGGCCCTGGGAAGGTAATCCTCGGTGGGGCACAGGGCTGGATGCTGTGCCTCTGAGGCCCCGGATGAGGCTCTTTCTCTGGACTTTATGGTTGAGTCTGAGGGGCTCAGTTGGGCCTGGGTGTGTGGGGTCCAGAAGGCCTCAGCCCCAGACTCTGGGCGGGTCCAGGGACTCTCCCCTGGGGACAGAGAGGGTCCTGGGCATCTGGAGAGAGAGCAGCCAGCTGATATTTGGGGGAGAGTGTTCCAGGCAGAGGGACCCGCCGTGCAAAGGCCCTGCGGTGGGATATCGCAGTGTGGAGGCACAGCCAGGAGGCTGTGCGGCTGAGCAGAGTGGGTGAGGGGCAGGGGCCCGCGGTGGGGGCGAGTGTGCAGGGTTCTTTGGCTTTTACCCCAAGCGAGGTGGGCACCTTGGGCTTGGCACGTTCAAGGCTCTGAGCCCACACCCGCCCACGCTGCACACGGGCCCTGTGTGATACCCTGCCAGCGGATGTAATGCCGGCTGAACCCATTCTGAGGCTTTCGTCTGCTAAGGCCTTTGGAGCAAGGGCTGGCTGGGCTGGGCTGGGCTGTGGAACAGCCCCGCGGTCCTTCCTACCCCAGCGGCCCCCACCCACGCCTCTGAGCCGGAGGAGGGGATGCAAGGCACGTGATTTCCGGTGGGACGTGAGATCTGACTGTGGAATGAAGACAAGGGCGCGCTGCTGTGGCAG